ATACAAGCAGAAAATAGGTGAGACCAATACCTTGCTTGCAAGCTTTTGCGAAAGCCATAATTTATATATTATTAAGCATAACAATATTGGGGAACCGCATATTAATCCGTATGGCGTCCATTTAAATAGAGCTGGGACGTCCGTTTTAGCTAGAAATATTCTAGACTATCTTAACATGCATGGCAAAAGTAATTGATGTGTAGCAGAGAATGGCCCGACTGACGATTTTGAACCAGATCAAATTTCACTAAATCATTCAAAACACGATAATTCAAATAATGTTGAGGTGAGACCAAATTCCAGTACTCGAAGTGATAATAAAAATATCAAACAAATGAGAGGATTCAAGATTGCTCACCTGAATATCAGAAGTTTAATAAAAAATATGGATCAACTTAAGCTGTACTTATATTCCCAAAAATATGATATTATTACCTTGAATGAAACTATGCTAGACAATACTGTAGCAGACCATGAAATAGATATAAATGGGTATGATATTATACGAGAGGACAGAAATAGGCATGGTGGGGGAGTAGCAATGTATGTAAGAAGTTCAATAGACTATAAAGTGAGGTATGATTTAATGACGGACAATCTAGAGACGATCACAGTTGAAATTTGTAAACCAAAGGCAAAACCTTTCCTAATAAACACATGGTATAGACCACCAAATACATCTCTTGAACTCTTCAATAGTTACGAAGAACTTGTGAAAAACATGGATTCAGAGGGTAACGAAATAATACTTATTGGTGATTTTAACTGTGATTGGTCTCTGGAGAAGGATAAATTGAACTCGCAAACAAATAAATTAGTTGATCTTGCAAATCTATTTCAACTCGAACAGTTCATTAAGCAACACACACGAATAACACAAACGACCAGGACCATTATTGATTTAGCTTTTAGCAATAGACCGGAAATAGTAATTGCATCAGGAGTTGAGCATTTAGGAATTACTGATCATAGCTTAATTTATATATGCCGGAAAATTTCAATTCCTCGTAAGGAGCCAAAACTCATAAGTACACGGCAATTCAAAAATTATAGCAAAGATGCATTTTGTTATGACCTACATAAGATATTTCAAACGCAATCAAGCCAATCTCCTGATCCTAATTCACTATGGCAGGAATGGAAAACAAAGTTTCTATTAATTTCTGATATGCATGCGCCTCAAATGACTCGCAAAGTAAGAAGTGAGTATGCGCCCTGGATTACAGAAAATATTAAGAGACATATCTACCACAGGGATTTTCTTAAAAAAAAAGCGGTCAAAACTGGATCTTCCAATTTACATGATGCTTACAAAAGAGCTCGAAATGATTTAAATAGATTGATTGAAAAGACTAAAACCGAATATTTTACGAGCATAATTAATAATACTGCTAAAAATCCAAAAGAAATGTGGAAGACAATTAATAAAATTACAAACAAAAAGTCCAAGACAACAAATATAACTAAGATCGTTGTTGATGATAAAGTGATTGAGGAGCCAGAAGTTATTGTAAATACATTTAACAACTTTTTCAATGAAATTGGAACAACCCTGGCTCAAAAATTACCAGAAAGTACAAGGACACCCGAGTCATATATTAAACCTGAGAATGACTCTACATTCGAATTACAGAATGTAACGGAGGTCGAGGTTTTTGGTATAGTTTCAGCATTATCCTCATCCAAAGCTACGGGCTATGATAGAATATCACCTAAACTTTTGAAAGACTCGGCCGGTGTGATAACCTCTAGCTTAACTCAAATATTTAACCAATCGCTGTTGACTGGTGTTTTTCCAGACGACTTTAAGGTTGCAATTATATCACCAATCTTTAAATCAGAAAGCAAATTAGAGTGCAATAACTATAGGCCAATTTCAGTACTTTCAGTTGTAGCTAAAGTTTTTGAAAAACTTATATCAAATCAATTATCAACATTTCTGGAAACAAGAGGCATACTCACACAACAACAGGCAGGTTTTAGGAAGAAAAACTCAACAGAAACATCGCTTTTAAATTCTACTAACAAATGGTTTATTAACATGGACAAAGGATATTTAAATGGAGTTATTTTCCTAGACCTTAAAAAAGCTTTCGATTGTGTAAATTATTATATTCTAATTAGAAAACTAAAGTTGTATGGGTGCAGTGAAAATACTCTTTGCTGGTTTAAATCGTACTTAACAAATCGACGTCAGATGTGCAAAATTGGTCGTACTATATCTCAGGAACGTGTTATTCGCTGTGGTGTACCACAAGGCTCTACTTTGGGGCCGTTATTATTTTTACTTTACGTAAATGACCTCCCAAGTTGCCTATCTCATTCAATAGCTAGTATGTTCGCTGACGATACAAATTTAACAACATCTGGGAAGTCCATAGAAGATATACAAAACCAGTTAAATTCTGATTTAGAAAATATTCATACGTGGCTGTTAACCAACAAATTGACTCTTAACAAAGAAAAAACTGAGTATATGATAATTAGCTCTCGGCAACGGTTAGCGAAAATTGATGACGATCCAAAGATAAGTCTTGACGGTATTGATATAAAAAGAGTTAAACAAGCAAAAACATTAGGTATTGTCATCGACGAAAAATTACTATGGAAAAATCAAATTGACGAAATAACTACCAAAGTTTCTAGAGGAATTGGCATGTTAAGGAGAATGAAAGCCTATGTTCCCCAGGAAACTTTAAGGACTGTCTATAGTGCCCTGATAATGCCACATTTCGACTATTGTAGCCTTGTCTGGGATAATTGCAGTAATTATCTACTAGAAAAATTACAAAAACTGCAGAACAGGGCTGCAAGAGTCATAACTGGAAAATCCTATGAAACTCGTTCAAGTGAGATTTTAAAAACTTAGGGTGGCAACCGTTGCTAGACCGAAGAAAAGACAAAAGGGCATTATTTATGTTTAAAATAAGAAATAATGAGTTTCCCAAATGCCTGACGAGCATGTTTAACACTAGCAACAATAAAAACTATAACCTTCGCAGTAACGAATTAGATTTTGCACTTCCAAAGCCGAATACGAATTATTTGAAAAAAAGCTTCAGTTATTCAGGTGCTGCGCTTTGGAATGATCTGCCGAAGCACGCAAAAGATAGAGCAATATCAGTTGGTCAGTTCAGGGCTATTCTCAATAACATGGAAGAACGAGCTTGTAAATAGAGTAATACTAATACCTTTTATAACATTTTATACCTTTTTTAGAAGTTCTTTTATAGTGTGTAATAGATGTAAAATTTTGTTTTTGTGCCTTAATTTAGCAACGGCCCCTTGAAAATCAGTCGTAATTCACTGAAGGGCCTACCGTTGTAAAATAAGATTAAATAATAATAATAATAAAATAATAATAATAATAATAAGTTTTATATTAAGCGTACAAGAATACATTATACTGTCATAAATGTTTTAAATGTCCTTGATCTGATGTATAATTTCCATATCTTATATAAAAATCTAATCGGTATGTGATCGAAACAATTATATGCACTTGAGTTCGAAACTGTGCGCTACTAATATAAACGAAAAATGAACACTTATTGATACCATACTTTAAAAAATTTTTTCATTGTACAATATTAACTCCTAATATATAGCCAAATGTCACACACCAACAAGTTTAAAACTATATGTATGCACTTTCTGTTAGGCATATAGATGGTCACCATAAGTTAATCAGGTGGCGCTTCGTTATGCATGGTGGGATCGACGAGTATAGTAGATGCATCGTATATCTTGGTTGTTCAACAAACAACAGAGCAGATACTGTTCTCTCAATACAATTACAATATGATTTATTAGTTAATCCCCGTAAGGGTTTTTCATAACTAATTTACAGATAAGTGTAGTAATATGATATTTACATGCAATTATTTAGAACTTATGTTAAAAAGATAGATAGTCTGTAGCTAAACTGGAATTATTGTATATTACAAGGACTATTAAAAATTAATTCTGTCTATTGATTAACTCTGTTCGTACGGCCTTCTTAAATCCTCCTAGAGTTGAAATTTTCGAGTCGAAAGATCAAATGAATTCCGCAGCAGTGCTGCAAGTGAGGCGGTTTGGATTACCATCTCGAGTGAGATCAGACTTTGGACTTGAGAATTATTTTGTTGCTAGATACATGCTAGAACACCCAGACCGTGGTATCAACAGAGGGAGCATGATCACAGGCCGAAGCGTTCATAACCAACGCATTGAAAGGTTGTTGTTAGAAGTGAAGAATCTGATCGTAACGTATTACAAGAACGTAATTTATTATCTAGAAGAAAGACAACTGTTGGATCCCCTTGACGAAATTACCCTGTTTGTGTTGCATTTTATTTATTGTCCACGAATCAATCGATCATTAAACGAATTAACAAACAGCTGGAACAACCATCCATTGAGCACTATGCATAACCGCTCTCCAATACAACTTTGGCATTCTGGGATGTGTAGTGCTGCACATTCTGATTACGCAGAAGTTCAAAGTGTTTTGGACAATAGAGAATGGCCCAATTATGGTGTGGAATGGGATGGACATTTTCCTGAAGACAACGCAGATGAGATAATTGAAGTTCCAGAAACGCTAGTGAATTTAACAGAGCACCAACAAAATGAAATGCGTATGTTGGTGAACCCTTTGGCAAATGACAATAACCATGGTATCTCGTTATACACGAATGCATTACATCTTGTTAATAACTTCATACAAAATATGTGATAACAATATTACATTAAAAGTCGTTTAGAAGTACGTAATGTTCATCACCATATGTAAAACATAATTTTAACAATTATTTTTAACTATGCTTATAAATTCAGTAAACAATTATCTTTTGTTTTTCGTTGGTTGTTAGCTTCGGTGTAATAACCTCAATGGTACTTGAAATCCACTACCAATGCGTCTTTACCATTTATCTGTTTTAAAGTACAATACTTGATGACGCGCAATGAAAATACATGTGCAATACTTGATGGCGATGCCACACTTTTCTGTAGATTTGTATCACATAATCACGCTTTTGATCTGGTCAATTTTCATATCACAAAGACAGAAGCACTTTTCTCTTTCTGTTGGAAAACAAGAAATGAAACAACTTATTAAGAAATGAAAGCTTGAAAAAGTAAGTATATTTTGTACGAACAATTGTTTTGTACACAGATGAAGGATCTTTTCGTCCAAAATCAACTCAAAGCATATATTTATGCTATTACACAAAAATAGTATACGTTAGAACTCCATACGTTAACACTATACGTTAAATAGTATACGTTAGAACACCATACGTTAGAACCATTTTTTGTAAAAAAAAAACGAAGAAATGTGCGTATTATATTGAATATGATCTCATAAGCAAAATAACAATTTCGTTTAATAATTTGCATCATACAAAACCTTCGAAAAAGAAAAGATAATTGGATAAAAGTTGGCAGTTGATAAAAATCTCTCCCTTGGTATAACCTGAACATTTTCAATAGTAAACAGAACTACAAGCTATAATGAAGTGTCAACTAGTTGAACCTTGTAATAGACTCAACCTCTGCCAAATCCCGAATGTTGTGCAGTGATAGCCACATTCATGGCATGTTTGAAATCTTCATAATTTGTGTACATATTTGGTAGTTTTACGGACATGAAACAAGCATTAGGATCTGGAAACGGGGTTGGTGCAAATGAAATGCAGAGCTGCTTTGTAGGAAGGTATGGATGCCCAACAAGGAACTGTACCATTTCTTCCAGTGACGGTAACGCTGACAATATGCCTTCTTTCTCGCCTAAAAGTATAAAAAGTTGGGTAGGCTATTTAGTGAATGATGAGCGATTTGTTCAAAAACATCTAAAATATAATACAGTTCTCAACGAAATCACCATATCAGACGAATGGCGAAAAACATAAAAAAATGCCGACACGTTTTTTCATAACTATTTAGCTGCATGGTGAAAAAGAATGATATTTTGAAAAGTATATCTTAAAACCAGCAGGAGCATAACTCAGAGGCATGAAGGTACAACATTTTGAAAACTCTGAATAATTCATAAATTGTTTTATTACTTGTCTACTTGACACCTTTCTCATATTCTGGATGCACTAATGAACATTTGAGGAACATTTGATAAAAAATCGGACTTATATTAAGCGTGCATTTATCAATACTCCACAGAATCTTAATTATGCACAAAAGTGAAATTTTTAATCGGCTCGTATTTGGTTAATTCTGCTTGTAATGATACAAGGAATGTGTCATTCGAAAGACAAAACCTTAGCTTTTATTAACCGGTAAGAACAGAGTATGTGCACTTAATATTCAGGACACAAAAGGACACTAAATTTTTTTACTCTCTAAATACCATTGTACGAAACCGATTATTACTAAATACCATTGTACGAAACCGTAAACTGTAATTTACAGTAATAACAAATGTAAAAGTTAAATATATGCATTTATTATTATACTGCTGTGGAATTATATGTATTACCTTTTCTCCTTTCTCCCACATCTTTTACATATTTAATAAGCCAATTGATAACTTTCTCATTGTCTCCCATATCAGGAGAATATTGTGGAATTAATTGTAACAATTCATCAACACTAATTTTAACATCGCCAGTAAGAGGAAATATGAAGGGCAAGCAACCTTCATTTGACTTCAGGAATGTAAGCAAAGAAATACAATCCATCCCTCTTCTCAATTGATCAATTTCATCTTTTCTCATTTGGAAAACAACATGGGTCATGACACACTGGCATGCCCTGTATTTGTTTTCTATTGTAACTAGTTCATTTACAAAAGCAGCTTCAGTAAGCATTAATAGCTCATTTGGTGTTAAGTCGAGATCCTCATTCTTTTGTGCATCTTGGATCTGGATAAGAAAAATATTGAATGGTAAAATTCACTCAGCCTTGTTGTCTGTGAGGGAATAGTTAACTCGGCTTCGCCTCGTCGACTATTTAACAATTAGTCGCCGAAGGCGAGGTGATTACAAGCCTATATTCACTGAGCCGAAGGCGAAGTGAATATAGGCTTGTAATCACCGAGCCTGAGGCGACTAATTGTTTTAGTATAAATTTCCAGGTGTTCACAAATATTAAAATAAATCAACAGTAACACAAGTTTATAAAAATTCACTTCAAATTTATTATTTTAATTAATAATTAATAACATGGAAGTACGTCACGGCCGAACATGCGCGTGCGACTCATCATTTTTCGAAGCTTGTCGCTTTGTCAACAGTTCACATTACAAGTTAACAGTTTGGCTCCAATATTGCCGTATAAATCGAACATAAATGTACAGTTATTATAAATCATTGTCGACAATTGTTCATATTTACATTAAATGTAAACTGGCAATTGTTAAATGACCCCGATGGCAGAATTGACCTCGAATTCAAGCCAAGCGACGTGAAGAAGTTTTCATGTTCAGTCGACTGCAAATTTTGGCAGGATGAAGGCGTTGAAATTGGTGTTAAGATCGTAGCAGAATGCCCGTGTTTTTCCTTCGACAAATCGAGAGATTGGCTTCGAGATTCTGGACTTCTGTCGCTGTGGATAAATGATGTTAATGCCGTTGACATTTCCTTGAATTGGCCAAGCGTTGGTCGTTCGCAATAGCTTTCAATGCTGGAATCGCTCTTGTGCCCCGTGATGGCTTTTATTTGCTGAGTCTCGATGTTGCTGCTGGACAAAACTGTCACGGTTGTCGCTCGTAAGGAATGGTTGGTTAGATATGGTGTTATTCCAGCCCTTTCGGTCATCTTTCGCAGCATATTTTCGAGCGTGTTGTGGCCAACCTTAAAGCGTCGTACCAGACTTCGTGAACTTTTGGGTTGAATTTTGCCGAGCTCTCGCTTTTTGGCCTTTGGAATAACGCGGAAATATTTGGATTAAGATGATTCAAGTAGGTTTTAAGGATTTCGACAGGGCAACGTTTAGAACCGCGTTGGGAAAATATTTTACCGTCGGAGTGATCTTCAGAGCCATCTAGACCTCCCGTGTGATTTTTGCTCGTGAGAACAGCGCCGGGTTCGCTTCTGTTCAACTCGAAGTACTCTTGGCCGTCTGCGGTTTTGACTAGACATAGCATTGACTTCTTAAGTGAACTTTGGTTTTCTCTACCACGTTTTCCAAAGTAGATGGAAATTTGAAACCAAACCGTTTGAAGCAAAGCCCGAGGACTTTGTGTATCAACATCAACAAGCTCGTGTTTTTCATACAGCTTTTTGGTTATGTCGGCTGTCAAACTGACTTTGTGTACTGTGGCTGCTATCTTTCCATTCTTCACGAGCTGCTTCAGGTATGAACTAAGAGTTTTATTTGCTTCACTGAACAACACGGTATCGCATATTGAAAATCTTTTGTTGTAAGGCGGCGATTTCAAGTGGCGGTCAAGCGCTGCTCTTATGGACAACAAACTAGTTTTTTTGTAGTAATTTCCGTCTTGCTTTCTTGCTGAGACGTAAAACTTGGAAAGACACTTATTCATTTCCTCAGTACTCATGCATTCAAATGCTGTTGTAAATTCAGCTTGGTCATGAAACCACTCTAAATATTAAATAAACGAAGTTTTTGTGTTTATTTTCACTATAAATAGTTTGTTTACATAATTTAAATTTCAGATACGGCTCTGTGTCGCGTTACGACGAAGCCAGTTTTTTTCCAAATAAAAGCACATAAAGTTTAATATTTTACCTTGAAATATTTTTACACCATATTTTGTAGCTTCTTTCGTTTTTTTTGGAATGCTGTTTTCTTTAATTTGAGCAATTTCCTCTTCCGTAACAATGGCAAAACGAGCAGCCATTTTTTAAAAAAAGCAAAAAGCTATAGTCACTGACCAGTGACTATCACTTCAGAGACAGTGAATCTTGACCAATCAGAATGCAGGAAAGTCAATAGTCACCTGGAAATTTATACTAATCACTCATAGACAACTCGGCTTCATTGTCTAATTGTTAAATAGTATAGATTTTAACCAATTAGCCTTTTTCACGTTGCGCCCTGCTGTACGGTACAGTACTTCATCATTTACCCTGCCCAAAGACACACAATTGTACTTCTCAAGTGAAGGGCGCTCAATGGGAAAATGCAGTGTGCAGCATGTACAATGAACTAATACTTTCATTTAAAAGTACTTTACGTGTATGTTTTTTTTTACCTTCGCAAGGCTTTCCCTGATGTCCAAATCAGGAATATCATTGACAATCAATTTTAGCATGGACCTTTCCAAATCATTTGTAACAATGAACTCTGATATAGCCCGTGACAACCCAACAAATCCTTTACCACTGTGAAGAACAGAATGGGCAATCATCTTTCCAACATAAATAAAATATTCAGAAGCAATGTAGTCTGCACAGTGAACAAGATAGTAAATGGTCTTCTTCTCCTTCAAAAAGAACAATGCCTCCACCACCATTTTTTAAAGCAGACATGACAATGTGATAGAACTCCCTTGTCAACGCACTGCATCCATTCCTGCTTCGCCAACAAATTCAACATCAGGTTTTTTTTCTGATGTCAATTGAGTCAGGTTTAAATAGTTTCAAAACCTCTTTAATGATGGTATCAGATGACCTATTAACAAATATAGGCTGCCTCATCAAGGTTTTTTCAATGGTACATTGCCTGAATCTGATAATTGCATCTTTGGGATTTTCACCCATTTCTTGATCTAAGGTTGAGGTGAACGTTTTCAATTCGGGTTGATCGCCTACAAATCAAAAACAGTTGTTCAATAAAATTACTTGTTCTAAGAGAAGTATTAACCACAACAGTCTTGTCCACAGTTACGTAGTGTGGCATCTTTTGTATACATGAAATTTGCAAAAATCCTCCCGCAAAAATTGAGGTATTGAAATTAGACTGTTGAGGTATTTTAATTAATACGAAATACACATATAAAAAAAATACTAGTAAGGGACCAGTTATAAAGTAACTGTCATGGTGGGCTGGAGTGATTTGGGATGGGCCATGGAAATCTTTGGGCAGTCTCAATGGGCCGCCAATATTTTTGTATGTCCATGGTTGGGCCACCAAACAAAACCCCATGTTAATTACTGTATATATTATATAAAGATATTAATGATAAAAGTAAACAAAACTAGCAAGATTATCAAATGCAAATGATGCTTTTGAAGCCAGTACTTTGTTTTATACAACAACAAGACATGGTCGATTCACAGCAAATATAACCAACTGGAGAGCAGCTCAGTATCGTAATTTGTGATGAATGTGTTGGTCTAGACTGGTGAAATTATGTACGTCAATACAGTGCCGCTGTATATTTATAATGTTCATACCTGCAAGTTTCTTTTTATTATAAAAGTGTATTTTCCCAATTTAGATTGGGTGGGTGGGTCATGAAATAAATTTGGTAAGATTAGATGGGCTTTGAAATTGTTATGAAATTTTTTTTTTGAAATTGTTTTGAATTTTTATGATTTTTACATCCTAAGATGGGTCACCAAACTTATTGGCAAAATTTGTGATTTGCATCCAGCCCACCCTAGCAGTTACTTTATGACCAGTCCATAATGCCGTGTGTATCAATATTTATCATTTCAAAATTCAAGATATGAAGCTCGAATGCAAATGCGACTGTAAGTTATCTTGAAATTCTCAAAAGTACCAAAAGAAATGCTACAAATATTTATAAAGGCTAGCAGTTTTACTGTAAAGCTCCAATCGCAAGTAATAGGAAATGTAATTGTATAAAAGTTAATAATAAAACCTTACAAGTCTATTTGGCTGATTTGGCAGTCAATGACAAAAACGGGCGAATAAAAATCACTATGGGTTTTGATGTGAACTTCGGTCAGATGAATCTTATGGGATTGAACTACTCATTACAAAATTTTTTGATATGTACACAAATGTTAACATGCATGCTAGGGGTGCACCTGAACGGGAACTAGGGGTGCACCGGTTAGTTCCAGCCGGAACCCCAATTTTTCAGAGTTCTGGTTCTGGCCGGAACATTTTTCCGGTTCCGGCCGGAACTTAAAAAAATTGGTTCCGGTGCACCCCTAATGCATGCGAGGCGCTTGGTTTGTGGGAATAATTTCCGCACTTGACTACACGAAGATTGAGTGTAGTGGCACTGCGGCAAATCTAACAAGGATTTTTCACATTACTGACAACACCCTACAACCCTACCAAAATGTTCAATATCCACTTTTTACAACTTACATTGTTCATTTAAAATTGATATTACAGCTTCTTCTGCAAGGTACACTTGCTCCTGTTGAGGAAAAATCTTTAAAAGTTCACTCACTTTTTCTATCAAGATAAAAAAAACAAATAGCATATACAATCAGTATTATACTAGAAATACATGCATGCAGTAACCCCTCGCCAATATTCCATACATTAAACATGAAGTATTCAGAAATGACCAGCACTGAACGCAGGCTCGCGCTCAAGTGTTGCCATGACAACACGATATTTTTAAATTTTTATTTTCATATAATTATTTTGTACAAAACTGCAAAATAGTTGAAAGATTCGTACTTTTAACTATACAACAATAAATTTCCGAAATACATACTGTAGGTATATTATTTTGCATTTTGTGAGCTTTGATTTAATGTAAAATTGAACTTGAAACGCTTCGTAAAATGTTTTGAAATGTTCATTCAAGTAAACCTACATTTTGCCGATAAACTATTTTTACTTAACAAAACATGGTAAGTTTAATACAAATAAAATAAAATTGTTAGGTAATTTCAGTTCAGTCTTCAAATCAATTTGTTCGCCTTTACATGTTAAGATTTTTTCTCAAATTAAACTGTAATTTATGAAACTTAGAGCTTCTATAGTTCATGTTTTTTATTACGTAAAAGTTAAAGCAACAAAATTCGTAAACATTTAAAAAATATTCAAAGCAAACTTGCCGTATATTTCCCGATTTCCCGTAGTAAACCAATTCTTCTCATTCCTTCAAACAAAATTGCTTCAAGCTTGTTGTATATGAAACGATGTCCAAATATATGTCTTGAATAAAATTGAAATCTTGCTTGCCATATTTTTGAGATAAGGATGACCACCCACTCAAGATCGCCCTTCGTTGGTCAGCGCCCGCGATGATTGATGAACTTTAGACTTCGCTAATGCTTTCGTTTCCCCGGGTGTAAATAGCTGGGAGGAATTAGTACCCTCGCACGGCGCTTCGCGCCGTCGGCTCGGGGATAACACCTCATTAAATTCTTGTCACATGGTCAATTAATTGGCTATTAATTGGCTTATTTTTTCGGGCCGGCAGTAATTGGCTCAAGCTGTTGCTGTCACCCTGCCTATAGTCATGTATATTATTCTTGTTCTTGTTATAGTTTTGTGTATTGTAATATGGCAAAACAAATAAATAAATAAATAAATAAATAACGTGTTGTGGAATTAAAATTTCCATTTCCCTACCGTTGAATAGGAAACAAAGAGGTATGCAGTGCGTACATGTTGCATGCCATCTGAAACCTTATGGTCAGCCTATAACTTTTGGTACAACTGGCATGAAACTTAAAATATTGATTCAATAAGTTTAATATCAATATAGTTATTGAAAACAAGCTATTATATATGTAAAAAAAAACAACAACTTAAAGGCCCATACAGACTGGACAAATAAAAACAAATAAAACCGTCAATGGATGTTAAAAAGTTTACAAGATACGCAGATAAAATAGCTAAAATTGCTTAAGTGGTTCAGAATATTTGAGAAACATTGAAAAATATTAAAGTTAAATCTTATTGAAAACTGAAAATTCGTGTCGTGTTGCCAAATCGCGTCCGGACTGTTAATCGCAAGCGACAGTGATAACAAGGTTTTATCACTGATTGACTGTTTAAAAGTTTACTTTACAAATTTATAAATAAATAATGTTATTTCATACAAATTTATCTTTATTGTGACCTTTTGAAGGTATAAAAAACCGTGGAAATGGTGAATTACTATAATAAATTGAAAATTAATAATCTCGACTATGATTCAGATTGAAATTATCAAAGTAGAATGCTATGTCGTTGCATTATAGTATTAACGCACAAGCTGTTACAAGGTTTCTACCCCCCTAACGTGCAAGCAATATGGCAAATACGTGACTGAATTCAAGAGCTTTCACCAAAATGGCAATATCTCAGAAACAGTTGCATGAAAAAATCTGGTCTTTTCAACCAAATATTATTAATATATGATTGACCAAATTTAGTTTAAATGAACTTGCATGCCTATATATATAATTAGTTTTTTCAATGAGAATTTTTATTTGTAAACCAGTGACACTATTTTTTTCATGTCACTCGTCACCTAAAGGGGCAATATCTCCATATATTTATATAAAAACAAAAAAAAAATTATTTACTAAATTAGTACATATCTATATTATAACCAATTTTCATCTATTGGGATATGAATTAGAAAATGATCAAAAATTATAAAAAATACTCCTTTGCTTTTTTGGGCAAGATGTTTACAACATGAAATTTAGAACAGTAACTAAGTGTTAAAATTCAACAAAGTGTGCAAGCCAAAACACAGTGCTTGTACATCTTTGGAGTTTTTAATTACCTCAAATATATTTAAAAGGACATACGGTACTAGAATCTATTTGTTTTCAATATAAACCAAGGATGGGAAGGTGAGAAAATAGGAATTTTCTGAGGTGTTTTTAACACGGACAATGACAGCCGACATTTTCAAAGGCAAATTGCAGTGACAAAACCAAAAGTTATTCACTTCTCTACTCAAAGCACTGAAAAACACCATAAAGAGAAAAACATTTTAAACATACATCAGGTAAGCCTTTTAGCTCAATTTTCTCATGTTTTGTTTGGAAAGAAACGGTTTTTAGCCAAAATCATTTTGCGCGCCAATGTAGGCTGCTATAAAATGTCAGACGCGTTCTCTTTTGAAGTCTGGCTCTGAAAAACAATCGCTTTTTTTAGTTTGAAATAAGCTTTCATTAGGACTAATTGTGTAGAAATGTTATCTGTATGCTCAAATGAAAAAGATAACCTAATAGTCAGGTATTCAACATAGCTATAAAACGGTGAAATAAGGACTTTCATCTTTGGTTGTTTGTCAGACATGAGAAACCACATTAGTGCCATTTTGTCGCGCGTGCTATTTTATAAAATAAACACCTCAAAACCATAAACTTTTAGTTCAGAAAATTACAAAGTTTCCCATAGACATTATTAAAAATGTTCTAGTGAAACGATTTCATGATAAATAAGCGAGCAATGGGCCCAAAAGGACGGCTAAATTATGTTTTTGTTGGGACTTCAGTTTCATGGCTTCCCGCAAAGGAAGCCATTTCAGAGAGAAGCGACAACAACGGCAAACAACTGTCGCGACCTATTTTGATAACTTTTCCTTCTGATTCAACATGTAGTTACTAGAAAATGAGG